GGGGCTGCCGCCCCCGGCGCGGGCCCGCCGGGCACCCGGCGACCAGGCGCACAGCTGGGGCGCGTCTGCAGACCTCCCTGGTCTCAGCGTTGGTCTTCGCCGCACCGGGCGCCCCCGCGATCGTTCTCTTGCTTCTGCGAACTTTGTGCGGGCGCCGCCGTACCCGGCCGGCGCGTAGTTGTCGGACTTCCTGGTGCCTCGCGTCGGACCCCGTGACGTGCTCGGGCCTCCGGGGACGTGCCGCCCGCGTGTCCGTAGCGGCTGACTTTGCTACCCCCAGGGCGGGGCGGGCCCTGTTTTTTTTGAGTCAGAGGCGGGCGGGGGCGGCTGTGGCTGGCGCGGAGCGGAGGCAGCCACCGGGCTCTGTGTTGTGGACTCATTCGTCCCCTACACGGCACCTTTGGACCGGGCGCCGACCCAGCCTCCATCTGGTTGTTCCGCAAACACACCAAGCTCGGGTCTTGCTTCTTAGCCTTTGCACTGGCTCTCGCTGCTAGGAGCGCCCTTCCCCAGATCTGCTCTCCACCCACCCACGCCCAAATGTCACCAGAGTCATGCTCTGGACTTATTTCTTTACGGCTCTGGTCGCTGGGTTTGTGACCGCTGTGTGTTTACTATGCCTCCTCCGTCAGACTGGGTGCTCCCAAGGGTAAGCACTGTGCCCTATTTTCGGCATCCAATCTTACAGAAGAGGAAACTGAGGCCCCCAGAGGGGCAGCCACTGCCTAGAGGTATCCACCGGTGTCAGAGTCAGGACTCGAACTCACATCTGACCACAGCCCACTGACACCTCCCCAGACCCTTCTTGCTCTTGTGCCCCACCTATCACTTCCAGCCAGGTGGCCCATGGCCTTATCGGAGGCTGCCAGAGCCTGGGCTCTCAGCTGGACCCAGATTAGCCTCCCTCTCCACCCAGGGCCCAGCATCTGCCTGCCTCCCCCACCTGACTCCAGCACTCCGAGCCCAAGGCCCGGAGGGACCCTTTGATTCTACTTATGTCTAGAACCTTCCCCTCCATCCTGCCCCAGAGGGGCCCCTCAAACCCCAGGATCACACCACTCCCCTCCCCATGGAGTGCCCTCCACCAAGTCCATTCTTCCCTTTGGCCTATGGACCCCTGAGTTTAAATCCTGGCTCACCCCTCCCTCCTCACTCTGTAGCCCCAGGCAGGTGGCTTGACTCTTCTGAGTCTCCCCATCCTACCCTGGTCAGGTTCTGGTGAAGAGTCAGTGTGATAATTTACATTACATTGCCTGTATACAGCAGGTGCTCAATCCATGTCCGCCAAAGACTGAATGGCCCTCCTCACTCATGTCACTTCCCCCACTGGACCATGACCCACAGCTCCGCTGGCCCCTAGTGGGTGCTCCACCAAAGCCAGCTGGAAGGAAGTCCTGACTCTCTGCTGCCTCCTGTAGGCCAGGGCTGGGCCATGCTCTCTGCAGGGTCCCTCAATCGGTGTCAGGTGGGACCGGCGCAGATGTCCTCAGTGAGGTGTCTCTGATTGAGTTCAGGCCCGGGAGACAACCTGCCTAGGATGGGGATGGGCTCACCTTGACCCCACGTCTGGTCCGGAACCCCAGGGCCGGGTATCTACTTCCTATGCTGTGATTATGAGTGTCCCCCAGCCACGCACAACAGGCAGCAAGTGGGTGGGTCCTGCTTTATTTGGAACTGGCAAGGACCCCTCTCCTGGCTGCTCCGCACCCACCGGGAGCCTGGGGAGAGCCGGGGCTTGGGGGTGGCAGAGGACCAGAGGAAGCTCCAGGCTCTCCCAGCTTCAATCAGGGAGGAAGCCAGTGGTGGCCCGCCCCTGCCCTTGCCTGCTGTACGGCCCTGCCCTCTGCCCGGACAGTCTGGGGGGGCCCCAGTCCAATCAGCCCAACTCGGTTTCAGCTCCTTGAACTCCAAGAGGCGCCACTGTACAGGGCTTCTTGGCTGGCGTGGAGGTGACGGCCACACGATGGCCAAGATTGAGGAGTCTGGTGGCAGGCAGAGCCGTCACCCGCAGTCTGAAGGGGCTGTGGGTGGCCGCCAGTGTGGGGGACTCCGAGCCACCTGGTCCAGTGGGCCGGAGCCAGGCCGGGGAGGCAGGGGTGGTGGAGGCGGGCGTATGGCTTGGGCGATGAGGCCAGGCAAGGCCTGCAGGGAGACGCCCAATGCATCCAGGCGGCTTTCAAGGGCAGCCAGGCGGGCCTCAAGCTCCTCGTGCTGGGCGTGCAGCTCGGACATGAGGTTGTACATGACATTCTGGGTCTGTCAGAGACAGGGAGGGTGGGAGAGAGGAGAGGCCAGGTGAGAGAGAGGGAGGGGTGGTTGCAGAGAGATGGCAGACCAGCCCTGGTTGGGTGGGGGCCCAAGTGAGGAGCAACTGTGAGTGCACCCCCAAACCAGCCGAAGGCATCTTGCTGGGCCCCAGGGAGCGGTGGGAGAATAGGCGAGGGGAGCGGGGACACAGGTCTTGAGTGCCAGGCTCGGAGCCAGCAGACCAGGGGAAGGTCAAGGGAGGTCTTGGGGCCCAGCGGATGTGACCAGAGTTGCCATGAGGGGATGAACTAGCCGCATGGCCTGTAAAGCCAGAGGGTGGTCTTGGGTGATTCTGGACTGGTGTTGCTCCAGGCTGGGGACACGGTCGAGGGGGAGGAGGCTCGGTTGTGAACTATCCCCTGCTTTCCACATTCGACTGGGGAGGGGATAGAAGTCTGGGTGGGGAGAGGTGACCACCCCAAGAATCTGACCCTATCACAGACCGGGCAACATGACAGCCACAACAATTACATTACAGCAGGTGGTGGGGCATCCCTGCCACCTCGACTGCTCCCCACAACCCAGCAAGCAGGGGCTGGTTCTGCCACAGTCCAGATGGGCCCGGGAGTTGCAGGGGGTAGGCGGGACACGCAGAACAGCCCTAGTTGCAAATGCCGCTCTAACCACCAGGTGGCGCTAGATCACCGTTCCGAGTCTCAGCCCAGCTCCGCGCAGTCTAGACCCCCAGACGGACCGCAGCTCACCGCCCGTCCTGGGCCTCAGATGCGAGGGCTGAAGGAGCTGTGCCACACCCTACCGCACCCCAGCCTCTCGATCTGTGGGAGGGAGACAGGTCATCCACCCCACAGCTCCTTCTTTCCGCACTGTACTTGCAGCCTCTCCCTTCCGGTCCGCAAGCCTTTACCTGAGCCCTGCCTT